ATATATATATAAAATATATATTGTGTAAAGCTATCGTGTAGAAGCAAATTAATACATTCATGATGACTGTTGATTTAAAAAATACACACATATACATACATATGTGTGTATGTTTGATAGCCTCGTATTGATTTCTAATACATTCCATAGCGAGTTTACCTCATTTACCTAAATAATCTCAATTAATCGAAACATATTATACTTTTGAAATTAACGAACGATTAACAGAATCGTGATAAATAAAGAATTCATTTTAATATATTAGAAGCACGAGTTCTTTTGTTAAGCGTGAAATCGTAAAGAATAAATAATGATATTCGTAAAATATGCATGCATATATAGTCTACAAAGTATATACATTTCTTTGTACAGCATATCAAAATTTTAGTCTTATAAGAATCCATTCAGGACGATTTTTCAACAGAAATCTTCTAATTCCGTTTTTTTTTCTCAAGAGAGAAATTAACAATTTTCTCCTTATAAAAATGAGGGATATAATATTAGTATTGTCAATGATATAATGGAGATCAAAGATTTTATTTTTTTATGCGATTTTTAGATTGTTCACTCTTTAAATTAGCAAGATCTTACAATCAATAAAATAGAAAATTAAATAGCATAAATATAACACAATAATATTAAATGGAAAGATGTATCTTAAACATTTATTTTATAATATTTTCATTTTATTTACAGACAAAACTTATACCTAAAAAAATACAAAATTTTATCGACTTATTTTCACGAATGTAAATTTCTTATTAACAGTTATATTGCCATGTTAGAAATAAGAATCAATATTCATGATTCATTTATTACTTGCGATATTATTTTCTATTATGTCTCGCAGATTTATTTGATTTGTCAAATTGTCACTTTTCATAAAATTGTCAAGTGACTTTAACTATGAAGAGAAAAGATAAATTTGAAATAATAATTTAGAAAAGATCAAACTTTGCCTATAAATAAAAGTAACTTATATTGAAAATGAAGCAAAATGTTGCATAATATTATATTATATTATGATTATATACAGAATGATTAGAAATAGATATAATTGATACAGTAATATTCCACATAATTTCTGGATAACTTAAATAACACTGTTTAATAAATAAAAAAAAAAAGAAAAAATTTTTCTGAACATGAAAAAGTAATTATTTCCTGGTCTTTTGTGATAACTGAATACAATTCCATTTATCAAATTACTGCATTACGTCGAAAATTGCGATACAAGCGCAAAAAGGTCTATTTTAACATACTTTGACATAACTACGGTCTGTAACATGTCGAAGGTTTGTTGCTATCAAAATAAAATATATTATTAGAACTTTCAGATCTTAAGAAATCCTAAAATTACTGTCACTTCGTGATTCTAAAATATCTTTAAATTGGCTTTATAGGATTGCAAAATTCTTCTATATGATTAAAACCACAAAAATAGTTATTATAAATATAGGTTTTGTAAACGAAAGAAAAATTAAAAACTTATTTTTGCACTTGTTTTTTCATTTATTTTTTTGTACGTTCAACTATTATCTGATGATCATATTTGCTTAATACAAAAATTTTACTTTACATGTGTAAAATAAAATAATTTTCATAAAGACAATATGCACGAACAATATCGTGAAATAAAAACCAAGATTAAAAGTCTAGAATAAAAAATTATTTAGAATTACGTTTTATAAATAAAGATAAAGATTAATAATAATGCGTGTAAAATAATCAGGATCAAGTAAGTTAATATATTTTTTAAATTAAGTTAAAGTTAATAATTCATAAAATTGATTAATTGAGGCATTGAGTAATTTATTAATCGACTAATGATCGAATAATTAAAAGTAGAAGAGAAAATAAGAATAATTTTCATTCCCATTATTTTTCATTACGATGAGGGAATATACAAATTATTGGTTTCTTTGTGATTGAATAAATCGCATTCTAGCAACATGTACTAGGGAAATATGTTACATATATTATAGTATTTCTCTAGTTTTTCTCTATGTTTCTTTTCAAGAATAGGAGCCTTGATTGATTTTTTTATGCAAAGGTCTGTGCTTCAGCCTTAAATGAATTTTATTTTTGTAAAATTTTTGAATCGATATTTGAGTAGAAAATTTATTATTTTAAACAAGTTACATAAACTATCTAATAATAAAATCTACCTTGGAATAATAATACAAAGTGTTATTTTTTTTAATATTTATTAATAATTCAGACATACTTCCTATAAGTTTATCAATGTATGTATGCCACAGGATATATAAATAACATCTTTAGTACATCTAATTTCAAAACTAATTTTCAAGGTGTTTTTGCTAATTTAGCTTCCTCATTATGATCTTTTTCCATAATTCTTGAAATTAGGAACCATGTACATGGGTGAGATCAACAATGATCCAACAATGCAGAGATATGCAAATATTTCTTCCTGTAACATAACAGCTTCATTAACACAAGATAAAATTAATTAGGTAAATATTCAGTAACAATATTTATAATGCCTCTCCTTCTAATTTTCCTATAATTTTGTAAATTTGTATATTTTCATGGATAGAATATATATTTTGAAAAGGAAAATCGCTCTTGGAAAGTCCTCTATGCTTTTTTTCATATAATTTCAAAATCTTTTGATGTCAGTAAGTTAAAAAAAATGATAATTCAATGAAAATTTATGCACATGCTTAATGTTCTATGATTAAATGATATACATAATCTGTGTAACTTCATATTTAAATAAAAAAATATTTTAACCATAATTAATTTGTATATATAAATATAATGACGGAATGAGCATACGCAGTCAAAATTTACTGCTGAATTAATATTATCTAATTTATAGACAAAAAATCTTTGAAAATAAAAAGGAAAAATCAGAAATCACTTCAGGCTAATAAAAACGTATTGAAATAAAAAGTTGCAGAATGGAAAATTTCCAAAGTTTTAATAGGAATGTTTCTTGAAATATTGATACAGAAGATTTAATCTGTATGAGGACAATATTATATATTTATATTCGAGATTACAAGAAATATTAAATTTTCTATCACAATTAAACGTCACATTAAATATCCATATTCTTTTTAAATCAAATACTCGCAGGAAAAAGTTATTCTTCACAATATTATCAAAAGTTTTTTAAACCTTTGGTATAAATGAATCGGAAAGCCGATAATCAAGTAGCGTTAGAAAATTAATTATGCGTTGCATATTTCTTACGTAATTTAATATAAATTTGACAAGAAAAACTCACAGCAGTGGATATTTTTACTTGGGGTGGTGTGCAAATGATTCTATTAGAGACCGTCCTGGTAATAACGCCTGACAAACGAAGCGTATTTCTTAACCCATTGTTAATCGCAAACATTTTTGTTCTCGTTTGTAAACTTTCCGAATGAACGAAATCGTGAAAATCAATATTCCAAGCTTGTCTTGTCTTGTCCTTGAAGAGGAACCAGGAATATAATTCATTAGATACGCAATCCTATGATATAAAAATATAAGGAGAAACGTTCTCGCGAATGTGCAGTAGAAGAGGGAATTTGTACTCAAATTCGATTGGCTGTTTCAATTTCCTAGTGATATTAGTGATTGTTTACGGCGTAGAACATTACTGTGTTCCATTAGAAAGAAGCCTGAGGCCGATATTCATAGTCAGTTCTTATATTCAAGATCATCTTAAGTTCAGACTTAAGATATCACGAATCAATTAAAAGGCTACATTAGCGTTTTAAGACATGAATGATTCTTATTTCATTTCTTACTTAAGAAATGAAATAAGAATCGACTATAAATACCAGCATCCCGGGCCTGCCATGCCGGGATTTAGGGTGGTATTCATAGTCCGTTTATTTTAAGGTATTCATAGTCGATTCTTATTTCAAGTCCATCTTAAGTAATGTCTTAAGACGCTAATGCAGCCTGCTGATTGATTTATGACATCTTAAGACTGTACTTAAGATGGTTTTAAATATAAGATTCGATTCTGGCCGGTATTCATAGTCGAATTTTATTTCAAGACCGTCTTAAGTAATGTCTTAAGACGTTAATGCAGCCTTCTAATTGGTTCGTGACTTCTTAAGACCGTATTTAAGATGGATTTCGATCCATTAGATTGACAAAACTATAAGATGTCTTGTAATAAAACTTATTACAAGCGCCGACAGATTGATTGTTCGTCTTTGTTTATCTAACGGATCGAAATTCGTGGATATAGCGAAGAATACAATCAAAAAATCGTGGATATTATCGGATCATGGATATTGGCTATATAGTTCATTGTCCACATTTTGTGGACATAGAGGCGCTTTAAAATAAAGTAATAGCTAAATCACAGTACATTATTTTGTATCTTCATAACAGATTTCCTAACCTGAGTTATTTTGACGTGGGACAAAATTTTAAATTAAAACGTGTGAAATGAATATATTTTCATCAAGATTCGCAAAGAAGTCTGTACTCTAAATAATTATCGAGAACAGACTATTACATACAATATTAACGCATTTCGTGAAGCACGTAGATATTTCTTTCTTTAAAGAAAAAAAATGGATATTGCCAATCCTACTCCTCAAGATCTACAAGCAAAATTATACTTCCTGATGGAACAGTTGCAACATATGGCTGGAGAATTACCGCCAAAATATCAAATGCGATTGCCCTACGAATTATTGTCTGGTTTAGCAAACTCATTGTTAAATGATACCATTTTTGAGATAGTAAAAGGTTTGATGGAGATACAGCATGTCACTGAGAAGCATCTCTTCCAACAACGACTCCAGCTTTTGAACCAACAGAAAATTGAGTGTCAAGAAGCATTATCAGCAACAGTAGTAGATGATAAATTGAATTCAATAAAAGCCGCACTGTTCAAGAAACACAAAGAGGAGTTAAAGGAAATGGATATGAAATTGGTATTGCAATTAGATCAAAAAGTAGCTGATCAGCAAAGTATATTGGAAAAGGCTGGAGTACCAGGATTTTATGTAACGAATAATCCAGTGGAGATTCAAGTGCAAATGAGGCTATGTGACTTTATAATCAGACTCAGCAAGATGGATATACCAACTTAACATGAATATAAAATTCTATCATATATTTCTGTTTATATCTAATCATACTTATCACTTATATATAATAATTACATCATTTTATTATAATTGTTATTTATTGATTATTAATCATTAAAATTCTAAAGGTTAATTTTTGAAGATTGCAAAGATTTATTTTAATATTTTATTGTAATCAAGATTGTTGTTTGTACAATGCAATTTCATCTTATCAAAAAATATTATCACAAATTTACATCTGTTAATTGAACTGTAATGGATTTCAACGTACATACATCTTTTCAAAATAGAAAAATATTTCATACATATTATACATGGAATTATCAGAGAGAAAAATTAAACTTCTAACAAGAGACACCAGTACCAAAAAAATAAATGGTAGATATATTTATATATAGATATATTACATATATTTATATATAGATATAT